GAATATGTATAATAATATTAAACACCTGAACTTTGTATCAAAGTATGTTATACTATCAAATAAACTCATAACTCTGTGTTTTATGCCGAATAACGATATAATGCTTAAACCTACATTATTATTATAATATCATTTTTTTTAGAGAAAAAAACCAAAAGGGTTTCTTAATTTTATTTATGTTGTGATACTATTATATATAGCAATGTTACATTTATATTGACATTGACATGAATAAAAAAACAGTGCCTTATAGGAGTTTTCCAAATAGCCATACAATGGAACATTTTGAACTACCCACCTAACCCAACCTGGCTGTTGTCCTTCTTTTTAGAATAAGGAAAATTGATTACATAAACTAGGTTAAAATAGCATAAATATTTTTATTATACACAATGTATTATCAACAGTTAATATATACCATACATAACACCTAAATGATTTTTTCCAATTTGGTTTAAGTTACAATATTATACTGATGTATAAAAAGCTGTTATAGGATAATGGGGACGAGTTCAGCCATTTTTATAGGTAATTTAATGTTTATTTGTTAGCAACGATTAGCCATTGCTAACGAAAAAGCGATTCTGAGTAGAGTTCGGTTGATAGTGTTACTTTGTCAATAATATGTAATATCAAACGAGTATTATAGTAAAAACATATACATACCTATGTAATATATACTATTTTTAATAATATTTGCTTGAAATCGTACCTATTTTTCCGTTTTCTTACATTTTTCCCATGTTTTTTTCCCAGGTTTTCTATTTATGGAAAAAACGTCTGGAAAATCAAACAATGACCTTCTTAAAGTATTTTTCTAGCCAGATTTCCTTTCAGAAAAATTACTATCATTGTAAATCGGGGCAAAATTGCTGGTAGAAAATTGTTCAAAAAAATAAATAAACATCATTGTAAAACCATCAGTTAAAAAAATACTGAAATATCTCTTTCAGTACTTATATTACAATTAATGTCTTTTACCAAGTTTTACAATGGTTTATTTGTTTCAAATAATATTTATTATCATCAAAATATATTATATAAATTGTATATAATATAATTAAATATTGAAATAACATCTTTGGGTTCATTATTAAAAAGAAAATTATGATATTTCAAAAGCAGTCTTGCAAGAATCGCCGTGACTGAAAGGAATACTTTACAAGATGGAAAGTCGGGAATATAGGATACAATGGGAAATTTAATTTTTTAATACACAATGATAAATTATAATTAACGAAAAAGTTTCTGAGTAAAGTTCGGTTAAAAACATGTTTTGATAAAAAACGGTAAACTATAGATAAATTTGATAAATAAATAGAAAAATACGGACATACTTCGCACGTGGGTGTAGTCACTTTAGTAGGTGGGAAGTTGGGAAGGTAAGATATAAAGGAATTTACAGTTTAGTCGATAGTGTTGCCCTGTCAAATATATATATATATTAGGGTGTTCCTTAATTTTTGATTTTAAAATATGCTTGATCTTACCCCCTAATATTGTGCCTATATGTATAAAAACGAACTAAAACTTTTTTTAGTTCGATCAGATAAGGTTAACCCGTGCCGACTTGTGATTTAAGTTTGAACTTACTACATTTTTCAATATTTACGAAAATTTTCGACATTTTCGTAAATATATCGTTAACCTTTAGAAATATCGATATTTTTAATACTACATATTTTAAAGTAAATTAAATTTGCTATAACTTTTATTTTATTACATTTTTTTATATCTCTAATGGTTCGTGTGATTAATATTTTTGAGTATTCATTATTTCGAAATATTTGACTTAAAAAATTAAAATAATGAATATTTGTTATCGAATTTATACATCAATAGGGTAATAATCCAGTCGGAATTGGTGGATACGAGAGGGAAACGGCCTCGAAACTTTTCCCGGAATTGTTTCTTCCTTTATTATACTACCTAGGCATATAAAATTATGTAATGCACGTATTTAGTAGGTATTTATGTCTGTAATTTAGTTAAACGACTCAGAAATCTGAGATAAAGCCACATGTTCGCCGGACTCCATTATTTAAAAATGTTGACCACTACCGAAAGCTCTTGTCAGATCCCCGGTATCTGATAATACGTAGTATACGTTATTAGCTTTGAAAAGAAGTTTTCGAGAATTGAATTACTGCAATATTAATCTATTCACATTTTTAGAGACCGTGTGATATTCAATTTTTAGAATGTATACGATTCGCGTGTAATAGTCAACATTATAAGGAGAAAAAAAAGTAAAGAAAATTCACAGAGATATAAAATAATTAACACTTATAATTACTAATTATTAATTAGCAATGAGTCTTTATTAATCACTATTAAAATTACTAAAAATCGTTTAAAATAAACTTAACTGAACTTGTGTGTTATGAGTTAAAAATATTAGTTATATAAAAATGT